CCTGTGACCATTCACAACCCCTGCCTTCCCTTCTCTCCGTAAGACACATGGCTATCCAAAGCATGTGGGAGAGGCTTTGCCAAGGGCCTCTCCCAATCCCTGCGGGAGGGTCTTTGCCATCAGGCACCTATAGGGCCTGATGCATGAAGAAGGCCCTGAGACAGGTCCAAAGATAAGGAGGCAGATAGACTGGCAGACCCTCAACAAAAGGACAAACAGAGTAAACCATGTATGAAAGAGCATTCCCAGCTGCAACCAGCACGATAGCCAGCTAATCAAACCAGGCCAAATCACGTCCCAGGCAATTTTCTGGGCAGCCCTCAGAGAGTCAACCAGCCTGAGAAGTCAGCCAATTATGCCTGATCATTCTCTGCAGCCCTGTTCTTATAAAAGACAAGTCCAGACTGGCCCAATGTAGACAAATGAGCCATTCTATCATCTCTGAAAGGCAATCTAATTCCCTTCAAATTTAAAAGTCTCTACAGTTTCCTAACAGGCCTCAGTGGGGCACAGGTAGAAATTAACAAGTTCACGGTGTGCCCAGCTTGCTTTCATTATCATTTTTTTGCCAAGCAGTGGACGGGATTTTCATTGTTACTCAAGGATTTTTTTTCTATATCTGATTCTCTAAGAGGGTCAGATCTATAGAGCTCAGACACTGGGTTGAGAATTGAGTCAAGTCTAATGGACTTGACTCAAGTCTGAGGGAGGTTTCACTGACTCAGCATCAGCACTTTACTGATCAGGTGGGGCAGGGATCAAAAGGCAATATCACAGGGAAAGAGAACTCAGAGTAAGTGCCGAGAAGCCCTAGCTCTAGATTTAGTCCCAGGCTGGCCTGTTCTGGGATGCTGGGCAAGTTGCTTAGTCTCTCTTAGTTATCTCCCCTGCAAAACTGGCAAGGAGGAGGGTATGGAATAGAAAACTCAAATTTATTAAACTTCTCCTAAATCTTGAAGCGTTGCAAGATGTCTCATAGACACTCTTTAAATTTCATCAAAACAACAAACAGCCCTGGAAAGCTTATATTATTTTACAGATGACAGTAAAGCTACTACTAAGTCACACCATTAGAATGAACCTTATGAGGGCCAGGGACTGAGGGGCTTCGGTGGCTTGAATGCAATTGCAAACTCATAGAACTTTTCTGGAAAGCAATTTTACATGTTTCACAACCTGTAAAATGCTTGGCCAATTAACTACAATTCTGGAAATCCATCCAAACAACAGAATCTGAAATGTGGACACACGTTATAATAAAAGAGAATTGAAAATAGACATATTGCCAATCAAACAGAGAATGGTAAACCCTAGAACAGCCATTAAGTAGGTAATCATGCAGCCATTTAAAAAGTTGAAGAAAAATATGCAATAAAATGGCAAATTTTCATTACTTTAATGGGAAAAAATATGTTACAGTATTCAAAATGAGGTATAATAACATGTTTTTTTGAGATATGGTCTGGCTCTGGAATGCAGTGGCACAGTCTCGATTCACTGCAGCCTCAACTTCCTAGGCTCAGTTGATCCTCCTACCCGAACCTCCTGAGTAGCTGGAAATATAGGTACATGCCAACACACCCAGCTAATTACTATTAATTATCATTACTATTATTTTGCAGAGACAAGATCTTACCATGTTTCCCAGGCTGGTCTCAAACTCCTGGGCTCAAGCAATCCTACCTGCCTCAGCTTCCCAAAGTGCTGAGGCTACAAGCATGAGCACCCAGTATAATCACAAACTCCTGGGCTCAAGCAATCCTCCCTGCCTCAGCTTCCCTAAGTGCTGGGGCTACAAGCATGAAGGTTAAAAAAAAAAAAAAGGTAGAAAAATGACAAGAAGGAAATACACTAAAATGTTAAAAGAGTCTCTCTGGGGTTATAAAAACATATACCTCAGTGCTTTTTCTGTGTGTTTCACTATGTTATCCACAGTTTCTACAATAAATACTTATCTCATATACCTCACTTGTTACTATTGTAATCAGGAGATCTACCACAAAAGCTATTTTAAATCCCTGAATTTTGCACTTATTTAAATGAAAATCACTTGAAATCGTGTATGATTCTAAATGATAAACTGGCAGAATCTACGTGTAGAACGTTTTTCTTAAAAAAATTAAAGGGGGAGACAGGTAAGAGAAATAAGGCAGAGCACAAATGGTATGGATGGAACTCTCTTCTACAAAGCTTATAGCCTACCTCCTGGGCTAAATGGGAAATAAAGACCACTGGGAAAGGGGTGGAAAAACTGACATCCAATACAAGGGCAGTTGATAAGGGAGAGCTAAAAGCTTCAGTTGACTTCGAGGAGTGATGGAGTTGGCAGATATGAATTTTTCAATTTTATGAGAATGATAGGGATCTGAAATAAATCCTCGGTATTTTCTTTTTAAGACAAATGTTTTAAAATAAATGCCTGCAGCATGGATGGATGGCTAGTGCCTTGTGTCCTGTCTTAGAGCCGATCATAAATAACACTGAGAAAAATAGCTCTGGTTATTCTAAAAAGCACCTTTATTTTTTACCCCTAAGAGCTTGGAGGATTATATTTGATGCATTAAGCTAGATTTTTTTTTAAGGCAGCTGCAAATAACAGAAGTATGGAAGTTGTCTTTAAATGGAAATAACTACTCAGAGCTTGGCTTAGAAACAAACTATGGTTTCAAGAAGTGCTGAACAGTTGTGGGTGCATCGAATGGTCAGAATACAAATTCAAGTTTAAAGGCATTTGATGGGTTTATAACTTAAGGAAATCTTTTGGTGAGTCTCCAGATAAAACATTTAATTCTTCTGCAGCCCTATAACCAACAAACTTAAATAACCTTTTGTAAATGCAAACTTTCAAATATCAGATTAGTTTGAGGTAATTTTTTTTTTTATTCTGGTCTGTACATTAGAGAGCTTATGACTTCACTGTAGAACAGCTTTTTCAATGACTTCAGTTTCCCTTTCACTATTTTACATTAAAAGACATTAAAGAACAGGACGTTAAAGGCAGACATACAATCAGACACATTGGTCATCTTTTAAAGTGCCAGCCTCAGTACACTGCAATGACTTCGTATCATCTGATTACTTCCTGTTTGTCATTTATTTTCTGCCATATTTGAAAGAGGGGTCACATGTTCAGATGGAAGGGTGAATGAGAGGATCTGCTTGGTGGGAGGACCTCTGCATATAGGCTCCGAAGGAAGGGGCTGGGGGAAGCCAGGGGCTCATGCTCAGGGGAAAAAGAAAAGCCACACTCAGCTCTGTATTTCAGATCTGATTTATCAAGATAAACTATAATCCTGCATTTTTATGCTAAATCTCCCAAGTTTTAAATGTTGTTTCTATTCAGGTTTTGCTGTCACCTACAATAGAGTGCAGTTGATACAATCATAGTTCACAGCAATCATCTAAAACTCCTCGAGTCAAGCAATCCTCCTGCCTCAGCTTCCTGAGAAACTACGACTAAGCATGCACCACCATGCCTGGATAATTATTATTATTAATATTTTATTTTGTAAAGATGGGTTCTGATTATGTTGGCCAGGTTGGTCTTGAACTTCTGGCCTCAAATGATTCTCCTGCCTCAGCCTCCCAAAGTGCTGGTGTTACAGACAAGAGCCACTACATCTGGCATCTATTTTTTAAGTGCATAATAAACAGAGCATTTCTGTGGCCCAAACATTTTTACTAATATTTGTTTAAAAATCTCATTTCCAGGGATCACTAAGAATTGCCGACTAAGCCCAATACCATCATCAGCTATGTCCAAGAAAGAGATGTGCTGGAGTCTTCCTAGACTGGCAAAAAGGTCTAGGGAAGATACTTCATCTTTTGTGGTAAAGACTGCAAGTTTATACTTCCAACTGTAATTTGGTAAAACTGGGACTCTGAGAGTGATTGGGCAATGTATGGAAATGCCTCAATTCTAAACACCACGGAAGTTCTACATAAAACAAAGCTTTATTCTGGGAGTAAAGAGCATCTCCGTCACTCTTTGCAAGAATGCTTATGGGTTTATCTTAATTTCCCCATTTAACCTACCTTCTCACTCCACACTTTATAATATTCTATAATAAAAGATGTCTTCACAGAGCTTATCTCTTAGAGGTGCAGAACCCCCTTTTCTTTGCCCAAGTAGCTCAGAATGTAGCAGACAAACTGTCAGAAAAAATAGACTTCATCATGGTGAAAACCTTAGCCTGGCACCCATCTATCATAAAGCAATCTTCTAGAAATCTTGAAAACCTTCATTAAATTTCCTGTCTTTCTCCTGACAGTTACAAAATGTTAACAATATTATTCATGATGCAGGCATCTTCAGAAACCCTTTGTCTAATCCCTCCTTCCACCACCATCACCAGTCCCTTCTCTTCATCAAAATCCATGGAAGCATGAGACATAGCTGAGTTCCTCACTCACCCCTCCGGGGGCCTATCCCTTGAAGAGAATCCAAGGAGGAAGCAGAGGTGGCCTTGATGATAGTGAGAGGCTCTCTAGCCACAAGACTGGTAGGGAAATATGGCACTGTCTGGGGATCCCTCCTCCAAAGATACACTCACTTGGAAGCTCAAGGACAAGACCCTGTGCCCCTCTCAGCAGATGTTTCCTGGTCTTTCTCCCTTTTCTCTTGCCAGTTTACCAAGCTACCAAGTTCACCAATTATATGTGGGTAGTAGGAACAACAGGTCATCTCCCTATGGGTAAAATTCCCCTAAGACCCTTATTAGCCCAACTTTTCCAACTCCACAGTCCACTTCAGCAATTTACCACCTCTCAGAAGAAAAAGAAACAAGGGTCTTGCACTGGAGGCAAGATGAATAAAAGAAAAAGGAGAACCAGAATTCCCCCCAGAAATAAGAAGAGGCATATAGCTTTAACATCACAGGCTGATCTAGAGGTGCACAGGGTGGTGACAATAGCTATAAAGCCATATTCTGGGCTTTGCAGAGGTTTCACAGCACATCTTCAAAGTAAGCCAAGACCAGCCATACAAAGCATAATCCTACCTGCAAAAGGAACTGGTGCATCTTTGTCCAGGGCTACCAGTGGTGGATCCAAAATGACTGTGTCGTTGTTCTCAGTTATGACCCCGTGATACGAAGTCTCGATCCATGGCTTGTGCTTATTGACTAGAAAATAGGAAAACAAAACCAAACAAAACAGGGTCACTATTTGAATAACAAACCCATAATACTGTATTATTAAGACTGTATATTTGCCCGCTCATAGGCTCTTATCCAACAATCCCATGAGAGTCATGGAGCATGAAAATCCCATTTTAAACTCAGAAAACCTTCAGAGAAGGGCAGGGAGAGGTTCAACCACTCGGAAGGTGAGGGACAGCAGTGACTCTCAATCACTGTTTTGCCTCTAAGACCATGGGTCCTTCACCTCACCAAAATCTCATTATTTGTATTTCTGGATGCCCAGTATAGATAAATATTATTGAGAACTGATTGAAAGCTTTAATTCTCTAATGCTACCATCTATTAATAGGTATTTCAGTGCTAAAGTCCTTTATCAATCAATAAACTAGCAGTTACTGCTATTTATGCTGGAGTATCTGACCTCAACTGAATCTGATCCATCATTAGAAGTTACTGCATTTTATATACATATATACACGCATGCACATACACATGTATAAATATTATATATGTAACAATATAACAGATACTTGAGTATTTTCTGATCATTTAAAGACTATGTCTATCTCAGTGGTCTAAATTATCTAGCAACTTAAGTTGTTCTTCAGTAATTTGACTAGCTGAGTTAAATATTAACCAATGAACAATTAATACACTTAAAATACATATTAAGTATGTTATAGGTTGAACTGTGTCCTGCACATAAAGAAATACACTGAAATCCTAACACCTAGAATCTCAGAATGTGAACGTATTGGGAGGTGAAATCTTTACCGGGGTTAATCAAGTTTTAAAATGTCATTTGGATGGCTCCAATATGATTGGTCTGCTCATATAAAGGGAAAGTTGTGGCACAAATATATGCATACTGAGCGAATCTCATGTGAAGGTGGGGTTGTGCAGCCCCAGGCCAAGGATCTACAAGAAGCTAGGAGAGAATCTGGGACAGAGCCTTTCCTAGAGTCTTTGGAAGGAATCTGGTCCTACCAACACCTTAATTTCTTATTTCTGGCATCCATAAGTGTAAGACAGTAAGTTTGTGTTCTTCCCAGATACCCAGTGATATGGTTTGGCTCTGTGTCCCCACCCAATTCTCATCTTGAATTGTACTCCCATAATTCCCATATGTTATGGGAGGGACCCAGTGGTAGTTAATTGAATCATGGGACTGGTTTCCCCCATACTGTTCTTGTGGTTCTACGTCCCACAATATCTGATGGTTTTCTCAGGGGCTTCTGCTTTTGTATCTTTCTCATTTTTTTTTTTTTTTTTTTTTTTTTTGCCCACTGTCACCCATGTGAGACAGGATGGTTAAGATGTCCAATTAAACCTCTTTCTTTTGTAAATTGCCCAGTCTGTGGTATGCCTTTAGAGCAGCATGAAAATGGACTAATACAGAAAATTGCTACCAGCAGAGTGTGGCGTCACTGAAAAGATATCCAAAATGTGGAAATGACTTTGGAACTGCGTAACAGGCAGAGATTGGAACAGTTTGGAAGGCTAAGAAGAAGAGAGGAAAATGCAATAAAGTTTGGAACATCCTAGAGACTTGTTGAATGGCTTTGCCCAAAATGCTGATAGCAATATGGCCAATAAAGTCTAGGCTAAGGTGGTCTTAGGTGGAGAAGAGGAACTTGTTGGGAACTGAAGCAAAGGTGATTCTTGACTCTTGTTATAATTTAGCAAAGAGGCTGGCAGCATTTTGCCCCTGCCCTAGAGACCTGTGGGACTTTGAACTCAAGAGAGATGAGTTAGGGTATGTGGTGGAAGAAATTTTTAAAAGCAGCAGAGTATTCGAGAGGTAACTTGGGTGCTGTTAAAAGCATTCAGTTTTAAAAGGGAAACAGAGCAGAAAAGTTTAAAAATGTGCAGCCTGACAATGGGATAGGAAAAAAAATTCCAATTTTCTGAAGAGAAATTCCAGCCATCTGTAGAAATTTGCATAAATTACAAAGTTCCCAATGTCGATCCCCAAGACAATGGGGAAAATGTCTGCAGTACATGTCAGAGACATTTGTGGCATCCTCTCCCATCACAGGCCAGTGGGCCTAGGAGGAGAATGTGGTTTCGTGGGCTGGGCCCCTGAGCTGTGTGCAGCCTAGGGACTTGGTGCTCTACATCCCAGCTGCTCCAGCCATGGCTGAAGGGGGCCAACATAGAGCTCAGGCTATGGCTTCATATTGCTTAGGCTTCCAGCCTTGGTAGTTTCCACATAGTATTGAGCCTACAGTGCACAGAGTCAAGAACTGAGGTTTGGGAACCTCCATCTGGATTTCAGAACAGGTACAGAAATGACTGAATGCCCAGGCAGAAGTTTTCTGCAGGGGAGGGGCTCTCATGGAGAACCCCTGCTAGAGCAGTGCAGAAGGGAAATGTGGGGTCAGAGCCCCCACACAGAGTCCCTACTTGGGCACCGCCTAGTGGAGCTGTGAGAAGAAGGCCACTGTCCTCCAGACCCCAGAATGCTAGATCCACTGACAGCTTGTACCGTGTGCCTGGAAAAGCAGCAGACACACAACACCAGCCCGTGAAAGCAGCTGGGAGGGAGGCTGTACCCTGCAAAACCGCATGGGTGGAGTTGCCCAAAACCATGGAAACCAAACTCTTGCATCAGCATGATCTGGATGTGAGACATGGAGTCAGAGGATATCACTTTGGAACTTTAAGATTTGACAGGCACACTGGATTTTGGACTTGCACAGGCCCTGTAGCTTTTTTGTTTTGGCCAATTTCTCCCATTTGGAACGATTGTATTTACCCAGTGTCTGTACCCTCACTGTATCTAGGAAAGAACTAGCTTGCTTTTGATTTTACAAACTCATAGGCAGAGGGGACTTGCCTTGTCTCAGATGACACTCTGGACTGTGGATTTTTGATTAATGCTGAAATGAGTTAAGACTTTAGGGGACTGTTGGGAAGGCATGATTGTTTTTGAAATGTTAGGACATGAGATTTGGCAGGGGCCAGGGGCAGAATGATATAGTTTGGCTGTGTCCCCATCCAAATCTCATTTTGAATTGTACTCCCATAATTCCCACATGTTGAGGGAAGGAGCCTGTGGGAGATAACTGAATCATGAGGGAAGATTCTCCCATACTGTTCTCGTGGTAGTAATTAAGTCTCACAAGATCTGATAGTTTTATCAGAGGTTTCTGTTTGCATCTTCCATATTCTCTTGCCTCTTGCCATCCATGTAAGACTGGACTTGATCTTCCCTGCCTTCCACCATGATTGTGGGGCTTCCCCAGCCATGTGGAACTGTAAGTCTAATTAAACCTCCTTCTTTTGTAAATTGCCCAGTCTTGAGTATGTCTTTATCAGCAGCAAAAAAACGGACAAATACACCCAGTATGTGGTATGTTGTTCCAGCAGTCCTAGCAAATATTCATTTGTATACAGTATACTTATATCAGCAGGCACTAATGAAGGGTAAAGAACTGAAATGAGACTGTGCCAGGATTTGGTATAATATTCCTATGTGAGAACCTCATCTGTTGAAAACCTAGTTCTTGCCAATTCCTTCCCCTTGTATGCCTTGTTTGATTGGTTCTGGCCCAACCCACTCCTATCTGGACAGCTGCAGGGGCCTCCTGACTGGTCTCTCTGTTGGAAGTCTTGTGCTACGCCAGTCTATTCTGCACACTGGTATCAAAAGTGATCTTTCTAAAATGTTAATCTGATTACTCAACTGTGAGATGCTTGGTTCTTCTTTTTTCAGTCCCCCCATACTCTCAACAGAAGTCTGGATATAGAGTAGGTACATTAGAATCAAAATAGCAGGTTAGAGAGGAGACTAGAATAATCAAAATTGTTCTGATGCCAACCCTCATACCCTGCTTCATAGTTTAAAAGGTGTGGTCATATATCCAGTGCTTACCACAACATCCTGTGAGGTAGGCATGATCATTATAAAGAAAATAAGCTACCTCCACAAGGTGTAACTTTCCCAAGGCAATTATATGGTTGAAAATTAATAGGTGGGAAAATCAGAAACTCATCAGTTTGTGATATATGAAAAGTACATGCACACACACATGATATATATGTAATGCACATTATACTGTATGTAGTATACTGTATATATTACACTACAAATTTTTCAGTAGCTACAGCAAAGTGAGAGCTTACAGAATTGAGAGTAGCTCTGAAACAGTGGCTCCTGTCCCTTCCCACATCATCATCCTTATCCAGGATCAGTGGCAGACTCAACCAGGGCCACCATTTTGCTCCTTCTCACCCATTCCACAGCAATCACAAACTAACTGAAAAGCAGTCTAATGAGGCAGAGACATGTCCTTGTTATTCTCAGGTCTTGGCCCCTGAAACCCATTTTTACAGATTGGACCATGCCCAGGGCAGAGAGAAGCTCTGGCCACTGCAGGTGTGAATTGGGCAGTAGGCACATCCATCCTCACATTTTGGCATTCAGACCAATGCTTCATTATGGACCCTGGAAGAATTACAACCACCCATGGGCTGTCCCCATACTCCTTTGTTCTTTTATTAGCCATCAACACAAATGCAATGTAAATAATTTGCAGCTGTTGGAGGAAACAATTAAATCTTTTTGCCCCTTAATTAAACCTAGGGGCCTATTCATTAGAACTGTGTACAGAACATACGCCAGGAGCTCACTCAGTGTTTCAGCTTCATTGTGCCCATCTAAATGGTCTAAATTAGATAGGCTCAGTGGCAGGCAATGAAATCTAAAGTTGCAGTTCTGGGTTTTAGCCCTGACTCAGCCAGTTCTAGCTGGCCCTACATGAATCCGGTGGCCTCTCAGAGTTTCAATTCCCACAACTGTAAAATGCTGATGATGATGCCACTTACAGTATTGTTCTGTCATTCATATGTCCTGTGCTAGACACACAGCTGCAGCTTTTTCATTACTCAGACTCGCCACCCTGCTCTCTGGGCAGTGACAGTGTTGGCAGGAGAGGTGATTTATAGATCAACTTTTAAGCTGAGGTTTTCCCCTCATT